TATATAGATAAATAGATAGACATAGATATATATAGTGTTAGTGTGTAGTGTTATGCCACTATCACTTGTTTTTAAATTGAGTATTTATTCACATGCTCTGTGTAACAGATAGGGCTTTGCCGCAAAACACTGGGGTGAAGGTTATTAAACTTTTTAAGCAGTTTGCTCTGATTGGAAGAATGCAGGTATAATGGCAGGATTATCTCACCTCAACTCTGAGCCAAGATTAAAAAAAATAAAAAATCTAATGAAAAGGAGAGTGTTGAAAGTTTTAAACATACCAGTTGTGAAACCACACATGAGCACAGTTGCACATTCCAAATAAACTCCAGTACAAAGCCAGTCTGGCAACGTCACACCTTTACCGCTCTAATATTGCTCTTAAGTATTTATTCACAGCCTAAGTCTAGACAAATTTGCACAGCTCTCAAGCTAAGATTAGCAGTCTCTGTCCCCCAAAAACAATTTGCTGCACAAACATGTTTATAGTGCAGCGCCCTGGAATGAGACAGGGGTAAACAAGGCCTTGCCAAGGCTACAAAGCAATTGTGAATGCTCTCCCAGTTGGCCCTACATTGTGGGATCTATCTTGATTTGTGGTGAGACCAAGTCATACCTCTTTAACCATAGTGAAGAGATTATTTAAACAAAGTTAACAGCAGCTTGGCAGCTACCTGAGCGACACAGGGACCTAGAAGTAAAGTGTGCAGGATGGCAGCCACTCTGCACCAGGCTAAGCTGCTACACGATGAAGACGTGCTTAGAAAATATTCATGCAGCTAAGGCTGACTGGATTGCACATGCTTGGTCCTGCAACACCACAGTGAATGCAGGCTTCAGTTCAGCCTTTTAACAACACACCGCATCCATCCTTCCCCATGTCTATTATGTTGATGAGTGGTTTCTGTGATGCTACACTAGAACAAAAGTCCTCTCACTCAGAACTTGGCCACCAAAGCAGATTGTCTCTTTGTATTTCGTACTGCATCTGACTCCTAAAACAGATCTCTAAACATTCAGATCATGAGCTATGTCTGATTCATGGAACTGTGTTCTCACCACTCCCCAGATCTTACTGACCACAGGCCCAGCCCCAGTGCAGGCCAAGCCTGAACATCCTGTCTCACATCAAAAATGAGCCGATAGCTGTCCAGCTGAGGCCTGAGAGCACCAACTCTCTTCTATAGTCTGCAGGGATCACCAACAGTCTCGGTGCTGACCCCGACACAACACAGCACTGGCCATGAGGACCTGTCATCCTGACACCTCATAAAAACTCCCAGCATGTCTTCCTGTGCTACATGGGAAACAGCCGCAGGGCTGACACAATGAACTCCTCAGTACAAGACAGGCTGGGTGGTTTGTGCAAGCACTCCGCCAGGGATACCAAACACAAATACATAATTTCAAAGGAAATTAAAACATTATGGGAACCCAGTGTTATTTTACTTCCTGGACTGTTTTTTTGCTATTGCTCTACTTTAAAAAAAAAAATGGGCGGCAACTTCTATAGAGGGATTAGAAAATATGACTTCAGCGATTAAGAATTTCCATTTTACAACTCCCTCGTGCTTCTCCCGATCATCGAACAAACACTCTGCGACCACTGACGCCAATGGGTGACTCAGTAATGGCCAATGCTGTAAACTACATTCTACATCGAAGATTAATCAAACTTGTGGGGGGAAAAAACCCCAAGAAGCTATTCAATGCTATATCAAAGGCAGAGAGGTGTTTTTCCTGCTGTGGTCTGACCTCTCTCCAGCCTGTGTGACCACCTAGGGTTTTTGTGCTTGCTTTACAGAAGCTGTGGTGTGCACTGAAAAACATACCCATGGGAAAATCATAACTCCTGTCACTGCAGAAATTGCACATGATTATCCTGTTTTCCAAGTGCTTTAGGCTCTTCTCTGTTAAAAAAAAAAATACATGTACTTCCCCCTTTGCAGTGACAAAAGGAAATACCTTGCAAGTGTTGGCGTATTCTTAAAGCAGATTACTTTTAGCCTCTGTGGCATTATCTCTAATTAGCAGCAGTGTAACTACTTCTTTCTTAAGCTTTACTTTAATGACAATTTCAGAGTTGATTGGAGGAAATCAAAATCTACAGATGATCAAGTCTGATTAACTAAGTGCATGTGTGCGTGTAGCATGTGTATAATGTTGCAGCAGGAGGGACGTGTGAAAATGCACAATATCTTAGTGCAATGTGTCAGAGGGCATGTTGCCTGGGGTCACCCAGGGGTCAGACTCACCTCCATGGGCCGATGTGGAGTTGTGGACAAATCTACCTGGAGAAAAAAACAAAAACGGTTATAGAGATTTTGTTTGTTTTTTTAATGCAGTGATAACATCATATTTAATGAGCCGAATCTATCTCAAGAATGGTTCTCTGACAGGTCAAGATAGGAGAAATATCTCAGGCTCTACAGGCTGTCCTGTAAGATGAGATTAAGACTCACGCATACAGTACACATCAGTGTGTTTGTGTGTGTGTGTGTGTCTGCGAGAGTACAAGAGAGTGGGAGGCTATTTTCCGCATGTCATTCTGCATTCCACCGCAACAGGGGGGGAAAAAAAGTCTGTTTTGTAACTTGAGCTTTGGCTCTCAGTTGCTGCTGTTCTGTTATCTGTGTGTAATAACAACCAATAGTCTCCCATGCACGCAAACACACTTTAACCTTCACATTCCAATCAGCTGTTTTAAATTAAAAATAGTCTCTTCAGCACATTCCTATCTCTGCATGACACTGTGCCGATCCCAGGTCTCCTCACCATCTCCAGGAAGTTTTACAGGTGTTGTGGTCAGATGATGGCCCAGCACCATACTGATGACTCACACAGACTGCTGCTATATGCATCTGTCATCGGAAAAAAGCCCTGACCAACCACAGGGCCTCTTGTGCTGCTGGGTACTTAAGACAGCCTTCCCCTCTTGTCATCTTCTCAGACAATTCCACACACTTTTATTGTACAGCTATGGAATTAAATCCATATCTGTATAATAAAAACCCTGCCTTTCTTTAGTGTTCCTTTATTGACAAGCCAAAAAAATAATAATCAGGGGTGTCTCTAGAGAATGGAGGCATAGGGTGGCACTGGCCCCCTCTGGAAATATGATTGGCTCTCAAACTACCACTTTCAGTATTTTCATGCTATGCTACTTTATACTCCACTGTATCCCTGAGGTACCACCTTGTTTATTTTAAAACTTTAGTTACTTATTACTTATACTTTCCTCACCTCACTTGTAACCGGTCTTGGCAGATAGCCGCCCCTCCCTGATCCTGGTTCAGCAGGATGTTTCTTCCTGTTAAAAGGGAGTTTTTCCTTCCCACTGTCCTCCAGTGCTTGCTCATAGGGGATCATCTGATTGTTAGGATGTTCTCTGTATTACTTTAGGGTTTTTACCTTAGAATATAAAGTGCCTTAAGGCGACTGTTGTAATTCCACGCTATATAATTAAAACTGAACTGAATTATTATCTTATACAATTTCTCCAATAAATGTACAAATATATGTAGCTGTGTTGTTAGAGCTAAAGCTATCCAACAGTGCGAGTATTTTAAATCGTTTCCAGCTGCAGTATTAAGATTATATAGACTTTGATGAACTGTATGATATTGCATAATTAGTACCTGCCATAATTTTTGTACCATTACTTTTATAGGATTACGATTTTATGAGCCCTGTAAAACGCCCCCGAAATTCACACATAAACAGGTGGAAGAGATGGGAAAAGGGAGAAAGGAGAAAGGAGGAAGAGAGATGCTCGCCAGGTGAACTTAGTGCATCCTGACAGAGCAGAGATGCGGTCTGCCCTCTCGGCTTGTTCAAACACGACGATTATTCAACTCTAAAACCGCCATCAAGTAGAAAAAACAATTATTAATACTATTATTATTATTATTATTATTATTTCACATCATCGCAGACACGCAACCTACAAGATGCCACACACGCGTCTTCAAGGAATATGAGCGATCCCAGATCATATGTCACTGCGCTGTCACACATGGCAGCACGTCGGAACATCCACAGGGTCCTGCTTGAACTTTGCCATACTCCCCTGCCTCCACTGCGTTTCTGCTTATCCTCAAACGTTTACAGCTAATGTCACACACAGATTACAAATACAGCTCGCGGACGGCATGTAAACACGCTGCACGAAGAACTTCAGCGGCAGCAGCGGCAGCCTCAAGTGAAAACATCTGTATTTTGCAAACAAGACATCATGGAGACTGACATTTGGATTCGCAGCCGAGCCTCAGTTGCTGAGATGTTATCGTCTCAAAAACAGGTAATCTTCGTGGAAAGGAAAAAAAAATCTTTAAGGGGGGTTCGTGAGATGCTATCAGCGAGTCAGGGTGTTTCTGCAGCGAGGCAGCAGTTTAACTGCGTGCCGCCGAGGCGCAGCACCTTCAAAGGAACACCAAAGTGCACCAAAGCTTTGCGCGGAGAACAGCACAAGTGGCTCGATCTGAAAGCTGCTTCCCCCTCTCTCTCTCTCTCTCTCTCTCTCTCTCTCTCTCTCTCTCTTTTTATCTTCACAGGTAGCTTTACATGTAGAGCTAGAAAGGTTATCTGACATTTTATAGGTATTGTAAAGTTGCGCAAACATCCCTGGACCCGGTCCTACCTCGCTCACGGCCAGCAATTGTTGACAGTCTTTTAGAAGTAAATATTTACACACAAACCCCAAGTTTGAGTGAAGCTACACACACAATGAAAGCAGTATAGGAGCGAACTATGCAGTAGATCACACCACGCTGTTGCTCTGAGATTCTTACCTCTTGGAGATAACCTGTCAGGTGTAATAAGATCGCCACGCTGGAGGCCACCTGAAGCAATCCCATAACAGCGAGGGTCCCGAATAGGAGTGGCCGGTATGTGGGTTCCGAACTCTGCACCGGGTGGAAGCGGTGCTGCTGCCCCACCTCGATGTCCACGGTGTTCCGCAGGTAGCCTCTGTACTCGCTGTGGGTAGCTGCCATGCTGCGCGCTTTGTGTGTGTGCCGTTCAGCCCCGGGGCCAGGTCCCAGACTCAATGCAAGGAAGGAAACCGAGTTTGCAAGAGTCCCTATAATCAGCAGTGGGTGGGCTGAGAGAGCGCGTTTGCGTCTGCAGCCAATCAGAGGGATCCTCCGGTAGCCCGGAGAGAAACAGACTCGAGCAGGACTGTCAACCGGATCGACCTGAGCGCATGACAGGTAAAGCGAGCCCTTTATGTCTGGCCCTTTGTGGAGACGCGTTAATGTGTGATCCTCCCCTTCCCGTCTACACCCCGTGAACATGAATTAGGCGCACAGCACGGATGCAAAGAGGATGGGTTTAAAAAAGAAAAAAAATCCAACCCATCAGTGATCAGTGGGCACTCCTGTTTTGTTTTTTAAAGAAAACCGAGAAAAAGATCAAATAAAATACAAACATATTCAGCCATTCATTCATTCATTCATTCATTCATTCATTCATTTTTGACGTAAATACTAAAAAAAAATGCTGCTTTGCTTAGAAAAAACTTGTCTTAGTGATTTTAAAAGTATTCAGATATGATCTTCCTCGTTTTTACACCGCTATGTTTCCACGTGTGCTGGTTTACACAGTCACCTAAAAAGTGAAAGCTCACTGGGTTGATCTCAAGAGGAGCCAAAGGTTCCCTGGGGGCAGCGACAGGAAATGCAACCGGCATAAAAATCTGTCCAAAACAAAACAGGCAAAGCTGCCTGCTGTGCCGACGCCTTTGGAATAAAAGGGAGAACCCGAAAATAGCTTTAATGCAGAGTCTATTCTGACCTACTGGATATATAAGATGTTTCCTTATCCAGTAGAGGGAGGCTTCAATGTCTCACATCCACTTATGGAAGTTGCATAATGGGTCCGGACTGAGGGGCAAAAAGTTCTTGAACTTAAACAGTTAACTAAGCTCCAGCACCTCAGTGAAGTCAAACATATACAAGACACATTCTGCTTTAAGATAGTGAGTCTTTGTGTGTCAGATCTCATTAGCTCAACAGATTCAGTGGTGCTTTTTGGTCCTGTTCAGCCATCGTCATGTCTTTCAGAGAGGGAGTTCTGATGAACAGTGGTGCAGATTACTGGCTGAATGAAGTATAACATTCTGTGAATCCTGTGCTTCATTGCTGCCGCCACATTACTATTGGGCAACCATGTCCCGGACGCATGTATATGGAGGCTGGGCGTCTGACCACTGCTAAAACAATTAGAACTTTCTAAATTATCAGCATATTTTTAAAGAGATTCAGTTTGGTGTTTTATTTCTATTAGCAGTTTCTGATTTCCCATGGTTACCTAACTGATTTTTTCTTGGTCCCTCACTTGTTGGTGGTGTTTAACCATGTGCTTTAGTCCTGCTTTAGTCTAATGTAATAACCTAGGGTCTGTGTGCACAGAGGTCTCTGGCTGGGCCAGCATAACTGATAAAGTGATGTGGTTTTGTTTCTTGTAACACAGGAAAGAGGTCACATTTGAAGACATTCCTTTGTGTAAAATGCACGGAAACTCTTAATCATGCATTTATCACATCTCTGCATTGGAATTTTGTTGTTTTTTTGTAAGTTCCTGGTTGACACCACAGAAATGCACCACGACAGTAAACTTGTGAAATCAGCCCACTAAACGCAACCCTTCACTTCTTGTGAATTGTGAATCAGATGTGTTTTTTCAGTATATTTGTTATGGTAAAGAGCAGCTTGTAAGTCTTTTTTTTTTCTTTTGAGTCATGCATAATATTTCTTGGAAATGTACTTTTGATTTGACATGTTTTGCGAAACATAAAGGCTAAAATTTAGATGAAAAAGTGCATTTGAAGCAGAGCTCTTACGCTTTTTTTGTGAACATGCATCATATTACATCACACTAGGAAGTTGTCTCTGTCCCTGTAGTAATTTGATGAGTTGGCGGGGCAGTGAGTTGGTGTTTTTTAATCGGAGTTTCATCATGGTGAATTATGTGTATGTGCAGATTGGACAAACCCGGGCCTTACAGGACTTTGATTCCACAGTTTTCTGATAGGAAAAGGAAAAGAGCTTTTTTTCTCTGTGCAGATGAAGCAAGGGGTGATATTGATTCATTGTCTTAAAAAAATATTGGAAATTAGCTGTTATTCTGCTGTTTTCTCTTCCATAAAGACATGTCACTTTGTATTGTTGATCGACAACAGCTGATCCTCTCATTAATTTTGTTTAGAGATGCCTTAATACGCTATTAAATTGTCAGTTTTGTTAAACTGAAACACGTTAGAGGCAAATTCACATTATTGTTTAGCAAAACAACATTAGACAACATTAGCTAGGGTTGGTAATTTTCCAGTGTGCACTGATTTAAACTATTAACGTCTTTAGAGACTTCATACTTCCTGTAGCTTCATCTTCCCCAGCCTCATTCCCACGTGTTACATTATGGTCAAGCCCTGTGTTTCTTACTCTGTAATAAATATTGTTTGAAGTGTTATTTTAGTGCATATGTAAGCATTTTTTCTGCATAATCTAGTTATTTCAAGCTGCTGTTTAAGGTATAGTTGGGTCTGTTCTTCCAAAAAATTTTCACAAGACAGTGCTGATATGTCAACACAGGCAAGCAGGGCATCCCATGGTGTCTGGAATCAAGCTTTAGCATCCTCCTGATGCTCTGTCAGTTTCAGTATTGGTTTAACATGAAGAACTTCAAAGACTTCATTAATCTGATTGCAAAACAATCCCATGTCACGCCAAAAAGATGCCACTTAGATGGATGGGGGCAACGTCAATGCAAGAGTGATATCAGATAAGTTTATCAGCTTGATGCCAGATCGACCGAAACATAATGGAGCAAGAATTTGAGTATGTGTATTCGCGGGTTTCAATGCCATTTGGGCTTGTGTGTAAAAACTGCAATGGAGGAGACATGAAACAACATGTAAGAAAACATTTTTCACATTTTTTTCCATTTCATCTGGAACTGCAGATCAACTATTTCTCTTTTAACCCTCTGTGGTCTAACTCTTAATCAGTGACTGTCCAAGCCTTAGTCCCAAACTTAGAGACATGCAGAAAGTACTTTTGATACTATAGTTTGGGCAATGTAAATAGTTGTGAATTCTTGTCAGTGATTCCACTCTAGTCCTAGACTTGGGAGAACACAAGTCATGAGTGGGTGGCTGAAGTTCAGGGGGTAGAGCGAGCAGGTCATCTACTGATCAGAAGGTTGGTGGACTGGCTGTTCCAGTCTGCATGCCAAATATCCTTGGACAAGATACGACAACTTGCTCTCCAACGCCTCCATCAGAGTATGAATGTATCTGAATGTTAGAAATATAACAAAAAAATGATAGATAGCACTTAAGTGAAAAAAGTGCTTGTGAGTATCATTGTGAATGAGTCATGTTATATAAAGCACTTTGATTGCTCCTGGTATAAAAGCATTACATAGGAATTAGCCCTTTTACCATATGAAGTTACAGTGTGTAAAATCCCACCAGTAGATGTCAGTAGCTGTGTCAATAGGAGTGGTGGTTTCTTAAAGCTACTGTGAGTAGAACTGGTTGTAGTACAGATGAATGTGGCTTCTCCTTCTTCTGCTGAAAGGGATCCAGGCAAATCCATATGAATGTGGCGCCATGTAGGATGTCATCACGGGAATCACAGTCAGAATCACGTTTATTGGCCATGTATGTGCGCAAACTCATACAAGGAATTTGGTTCCGATAGATGGTGACTCTCAAGCACAGCAA